CAGTCCAAAATTCAACTTATAACACACTTCCAGAACAGTCCAAAATTCAACTGATAACACACTTCCAGAACAGTCCAAAATTCAACTTATAACACACTTCCAGAACAGTCCAAAATTCAACTGATAACACACTTCCAGAACAGTTCAAAATTCAACTGATGACACACTTCCAGAGCAGTCCAAAATTCAAATGATAACACACTTCCAGAGCAGTCCATAATTCAACTGATAACACACTTCCAGAACAGTCCATAATTCAACTCATAACACACTTCCAGAACAGTCCATAATTCAACTTATAACACACTTCCAGAACTGTCCAAAATTCAACCGATGACACACTTCCAGAACAGTCCATAATTCAACTTATAACACACTTCCAGAACAGTCCATAATTCACCATACAACTTGACAAAACCACAACTGTTGCAAATTTAGCTCAGCTTCTGACATTTGTACGATACTGTTATGAAGAAGAAATGTATGAACAGTTTCTGTTTTCCCGAGCACTTATAAGGGAGAGCTACAGGGGAAGCCATGGTCTTTTTTAATGATGAGTTTTTCACCACAAACAATCTTTCTTGGACTAATTACATTTGGGTATGCACTGATGGGGCATGGGGCAGCTGCATTTATTGAAAACAAGAAATTGCTGCCCCCAAAGCAAAAAAAAAGAAGCTATTCATGTCGTGAACTTTACAAAATCAAGAGTTTTGAATAGCAGGCTATTTACTTTTCCATTCTTTGTTGAAAAATGAGATCCGTTGACAAGCTCCTACTGCATACAGAGATGCTTTCGAGGGAAGGTACTCAGTTGCATTGTGCAAAAGAAAAAAAAATGTACTTTGCATTTTTTTTTGTTAAACTGTAACCTCGTACTAGTGGAACATTTTATGGATAAAAAAGTGGTCTCTAGTACCGACTCATATTTTTGATAAACTCATCGACTCTAACTTATCACTGCAAAGTTGAAATAGCAATGTTGTGCAACTAAGTGGCAAAGTTTTTGTATTTTGCAAAAAAACCTGTGCTGTGGGGAAAACCAATTTAAGAATGAAAAGTGTGCTGTGTTTCTTGCCTCAGTGGATTCTTGGAAGAAAATGAGTTAAATCATGTTCTTCTGTTGTTTCATCTCCACGAATCAACGGAAGAACATGATTGGATCCAGAAACCATTTAATGGCAGCACAACTTCTCATCTGCCAAAGGCAATTCAAGAAAAGATCATAGAGCTATCCAGTGATAAAATTATTCAGGTAGAATTCAAGTCAAAACCTCTTGGGAACTTCTGGATGTTAGTTTGTAAAGGACACCCTGACCTGTCACGAAAAGTGATGGTCATGATCTTGCCTTTCATACCAACATACCTGTGTGAATCGGCATTTACCGATCTGACAGCAATCAAAACAAAACAGCAGTCTTGTCTACAGGTATACAGAGGAATCTCCAAGCTTCCGTGTCAACAATTCAGCCGCCACGAATGGACCTCATCTTATCCCATCCTTCACACTAAATTAGTGAGTAAACTGAAACTGTTTGCCTTATGCCGTGTACCATTTTAAGACTTGATTCTTGTATTATTTTTATACGAGGTATGAAAACCCATAAGAGTTACCGAAGAAGTGTACCATTTTAAGACTTGATTCTTGTATTATTTTTATACGAGGTATGAAAACCCATAAGAGTTACCGAAGAAGTGTACCATTTTAAGACTTGATTCTTGTATTATTTTTATACGAGGTATGAAAACCCATAAGAGTTACCGAAGAAGTGTACCATTTTAAGACTTGATTCTTGTATTATTTTTATACGAGGTATGAAAACCCATAAGAGTTACCGAAGTAAAATTTGCTTATTTAAAACTTGCATTTTTCCGTTACATCTGAAATTTTTTATTTATTCTTTTACTATAAAATCACTAAATCATCATCGTCTGCCCATGTTGTTAATATCAGATGTTTTTAAACTGTTACATGTCTCATCCACTGTTTGATTTATAGATGGATTCAATCAGTTGCAAGGCCAAAAGTTGTCACAACATTTACACGTATAATATTAATGAACGTTATTATAATTTGAACATTTCTGATATGCTCAGAATAATGATATTTTTCCAGAAGTTTAATCTTCTCGCATTTCAAGTAATCAGAATTTATTTTTAATATATAAAAATATTCTATCATTTTGTGTAGATCTACATATTTCAGGAACTTACCAAGATCACATAAAAAATAACAGTGGCCAAAATTCCCACATTCATGGTTGATGTTGATCTCAATTGTGCTGTAGAATGAAAAAATAGAATAAAAAAATCAGCATGAAATTATGATGTATTTACCGTACATTAAACACATGTGTTGAAATAACTTCAATACTGTACCTAACATTTTAGCCTAAATGGATACATTCATCACACTCCTACTATTTAAATATATTTGGTAAATATTCTCTGCAATTCTTCATTAACCCTATGGATGCAGTAATTGGATTTATAACCGTTTGGTGCGACAAGTGGACTTATTCCGTGGTGTCACAAAAACTTTTCCTCACAGTGCAACAATCGGGATACTTGTACATCCTTAAATTTCCTAATTTAGTACCACGCAAACAAACATCACCAAGCAAAAGCACAACCAGTGGATTTTGACATTGAAAAAGTACCAAAAAACGCCAAATTCTACATTTCATTCCTTAGTGGATAGTTGACACTGTTCGAGAACCTCACCAAAATTTAATTATGCACTCAAGGGGTTAAGTAACAGATACTTAAGGAAGAAACTCATTAAAAGCTCAGTTAAAATGTGAAGTTAATAGTGAACGTATTCATTTAAATATTTCTGTAAAATTCCTCAGTTAATTTGTGTGGACAACTACCAATTCTTCAAGTATACATTTGGAAGCATGTATTCATGCCAGCTGTTATAACTACCTTATATTTGATTTCAAAGAAAATAACGTTTGAATGATTCAATGCACTAAGAGTGAAGACATCAGTAATTTTGTAATAATGGGAATGTTAATATTTAAGAGGCTTTGGCTGTAGGTTTTTTGTCAACAACTTTAAATTATTATTCACAAATTTATCGAGGTAAAATACTTAAAACCTGTTCATCCTTTCGGTCATAACTTATTCTTTTGTACGTCCATTAAAGCTGAATAAAGTCACTTTGAAGATTAAATTACCTTGATGTAATAGTTCTTCTGTAATTTTGTTTATCTTTCTTTGAATTTTGGCATACTTGGCAAATTCATCGACCATGCTGACACCTCCCAACTCGGCTTTCAAATCGCACACCTGTCGTCTCAGGTTCATCTCCATCTCACTTTCCCTTACAACTATCTGGACTAACTGAAATAAAAAAAACTGAGTAAAATAAACGTAAAACCTGTTAGGAATCAAGTCATTCCTGGAGCACTGTTTAAGTCAATTCAGTTAAAAATATATAAAAAGGATATTCTGGATCAGGGTTTACAACTTCCTAACTGGAAAATAGAAATGTATAATCTAAACACTGTAGAGCAGAAAATAAAATCACAAAAAATTACAATCATTAT